CTTGTTGTGTTTTGAATCTGTTGTAGATCAGCTCTGAGCTCTGGCTGGACTTTTCCCAGCCTGTTGGTTGCCCCTTTGGTTGGTTTTCCTGCAGCAGCACGTCCCACAGAAGGAGGGAGAATCCCGGGGGGTTCTGCTCCATCTGGTCTTTCCCCTGGGTGTGCCTTTGGCTCGAGGGGGACAGCAGGGACACATGGCTGCCTTTGTCATCCCAGTATCCAGTGCCATCCCCAGCATCCTCTGGCTCACCCTCATGGCTCATATGGGAGGAGAAACAAGCAGCAGGAGAGTTGCACCTCCATAGAATCCTAGAATCATGGAATGATTTGGGTTGGAAGGGACCTTAAACCTGTCTGTGGTGGGGGGAAACCATGACACTTGTCTCATTCCAACTCCCTGCCATGGATAGGGACACCTTCCACTAGACCAGGTTGTTCAGGTTGTTATTTTCCCATCAGAGTAAGAGCAAAAAAGGACTACCATGAGAAAATGACTCTCCCTGGGCACAGAGGGTCATATCCACAACGACAAAACCTTGTTAGGCCTGAGAAACTGAGAGTTTATGGCAGTTTGGGGAAAACTCACAAGAGATCTTCTCCCCCTTGTGCAATGCTGAAGCCAAAAGCCAGAAGGAAAACAATTATTATTCATACGTTGCAAAAAAAAGCTTGAAAATGAAAAGCTCTGCTGGGAGAGCTGGGGGTGTTCAGACTGGAGAAAGGGAGGCTTCCAGGGAGACCTTAGAGCACCTTCCAGTGCCTAAAGGGGCTCCAGGAGAGTTGGAGATGGACTTGGGAGAAGGGTCTGGAATGACAGGACAAGGGGGAATGGCTTCCCACTGCCAGAGGGCAGGGTTAGATGGGATATAGGGAAGAAATTCTTCCCTGTGAGGGTGGGGGGGCCCTGGCACAGGCTGTCCAGAGAAGCTGTGACTGCCCCTGGATCCTTGAAAGTGTCCAAGGTCAGGTTGGATGAGGCTTGGATCAACCTGGGCTAGTGGAAGGTGTCCCTGCCCATGGCAGGGATATGCACTGAGATGGTCTTTAAGGTCCTTTTGAACCCAAAGCATTCAGGGATTCTGTGTTTCTAAGAAAATCTGGCTGTGGAGAGGTAATTCTGCCACGGCCCTGCTGCTTCCAAGGTCTCACAATCCCTCATAATGACAGGAGACAGGCCACAGATTGTTCATTTTGGGTCTCATGTTGGGCACCAGGCTCTGATTTTAAGCTTAGGATGTTTGGGATACCAAAAACAACCCCTGGAAAAGGCTGATCCCCCTTTCAGAATGGGAGACGTGGGAGGATCTGAAGGACTCCAAGGAAAGGTTTCACATTAATATGTGACAATGCAGACATGCAAAACCAGCTGCAAAAGCAGAAGGCAGTGACAGTAAAGCCAAATGTGCCTTTTCCCTGCACTCCAGTCACAGGGAATTGCCATCAGCTCCAACATCCAGTGCCATGGTTACCCATGGCACCACTGCAGAGCCCGTTTGGCAGCCCAGCCATGCCGTGTCCCCTGAAGTCACTTCCTTGCCTAATCCAGTTTAACATCCATCACACCACACACCCTCCTGGAGCCCGGGGAGATGGGCTCAGTGCCCGTCCTCTGCCCGGAAAGGCAGCTCTGCCTTCCTGCCAGACTCCCAAAGGGTTGGAGCAGCAATCCCAGCGGTGCTCCGCAGGGATGCCGGGCTTGGACACGCCACCACACACATCCCATCTGTCCCATCCCATCCCATCCCAACCCCCACCTTCACAGACTGTCCCCAAATGTGCTGGTGTCTGCTGATTGCCAGGAATGGGGTCAAGGGGCCAAAGCAGCCAAAAACTGAGGGTCTCCTCCTTGCTGACAGCACAGAGATGTGGAGATGTTCCGAACTATTCAGAGAAGGAGGGAGCGAGGGAAAAGCTCCCTTCCTTTCTTCTCTACTCTCCCAAAGTGCCCATTTCCCAAAAATGTTTCATTGCATCACCCTAATTTCAAGTGTCCAAGGCCAGGTTGGACAGAGCTTGGGACAACTTGGGATAGTGGAAGGTGTCCCTGCCCACGGCAGGGGGTTGGAACTGGATGGGCTTTAAGGTCCCTTCCAACCTAAACCATCCCATGATTCTATGGCAGTTTCTGGAGGGGATCCCAATCCCCTGGTTCCCACAGGTCCCTGCTCCTCCTGGCACAGTGTGAGGTCCCTCTCCATATTTCAGGAGTCTGGAGGGCAGCTGCTGCCATCCCGTGTGTCCGAGGAATGGCTTCTCCCTCGCTCCTCTTCGGCAGCTCCGTTTCCAGACGCAAAGACCTGCCTGGTGCTTCTTTGTGCCAGAGCGTTTCCGGTGTGGGAATAAAAAAAACTCATTAAGGGCCCGCACAGGCAACGAAATGACACTTTGTCATCTTGGATTTGAGCTGAACACACGTCAGTGGGGCTGACGAGAGTCAAATTAATTTGGCTTTTGCAATGGCTCCTGCATGACGTTAATAAAAGCGGTGTTTTGTGAAGGATACAGAGAGATTCGTGGCCCTCCTTGTCCTCACAGAGCTCTAATTAAGGCCCTTTTCTCCTCTGGAATCAGAGAAGGAGGGCTGATGGCTTTTTTTTTTGTTTTGTTTTAGGGCTCTGGGGATATCCCCTGCCCAGCAGCGCAGGATGTATCCCAAAGATGTAAAGGGACGCGGGATGCAAAGGGACTCAGGTTTCACTGGGTTCCTCTCCTTGCATGCACCAATTTTTCTTTTATTTTGCCATTAAATTTGATCCAAATCATTTCCTTGACCCCTCTTGCCAGGACTGCTGTCCCTTATCATTGGGAGAGTGACTCCACTGCAGCGACAAGCAGATCCCAGCGGGATGGATGCCGGAGGTTGTCTCCCAGCCCCGTGTTTCCTGATGAGGAGCCATAAACCTCCCAGAAAAACAAGCAGCTGGCAATTAGTGGTCAGCAACCGAGCTGGGGGCTGGCAGGAGTGAATCCTTGGAGTGGGAGCTGCTTGGAGCATCCTGCCTGGGGTTTGTCCCCCGTGCTGCCATGGATCCTGCTGGGCCCTCTTCCCACCGCTGTCACATTCCTTGGCATGCTGGTCTCTGCAGGATGTGACCCCCTTGGCATTTCCAACATTTTTCCCCTTTTTTTAAAAAACCTTTTCTTTCTTTTTTTTCCATCCCAGGCAGCCTTTCCCTCTGGCTTAGCAGAGAATTAAGCAACTGGTCCTGAAATTCCAGCGTGAGCAACCAGGTCATGACCATTCGGATAAACAAAGCGCACGGACCCACGGCTCTTCCCAAAGATTTTTGGCTCCTTTTCAAGCCAAGCACTCACTGAGACATAGTTGGGTACACCAAACCCCGAACCCAGGAAGTGCCTTTGCTCCTGCCGTGTGCGTGGATGGGGGAATAATTTGGGAAGGGGCAATCGTGACCTCCGAGCGGTGGGTGGGACGCTGCCAATCCAGGGATGGATAATGACATTCCATTGGTGTGGGGAGCACCCCCAACTTCACCCTCCTGTACAGGCACGTCTTGCAACCCTCTCCCCCCAAAATTCCAGCTCCTACAAAACCCCCAAGCCACGGGGTGCTGCCAAAAACCTGCCGGTGGGGCTTGAGCAATAGCAGCCCATGCCTGACATCTGCCCACACGCATTTCGGAGGCCAGTAAACTTCCTGTGGATATTGGCTGCCTGACAGAAGTGACTGAAATATCTGCCTTTTCTTAGGGTGGGTATTTTTTGGCTTTGTGTCTTGATAACAGGTAGGAGCTCTGCCTGCTTTTCCCTGGCTGCGGGAGACGCAAGTTCTACGGAAGAGCTCAGAGGGGGTGTTGCTGCGGCTGGCAGGCAGAGGTGAGGTAAAAATGTCATCACACGTCTCTAAAACACAGTTTATTTTCACTTTTTAGGAAAGTTGAGGCACCCATTTCCCCTGCCAGCCTCTCCTTCTGCCCCCTCCCCCCATTCCCGTGGCTTCATCCCACGGATGCTCCAGGCAGGCGACACATTTCCTCCAGGAACAAGATCTACCCTGAGGTGCATCATAAGCACGAACCCACACATGACTCAGCAGGATCCTTTGAGAGACATTTATTATTTAAATAATAACTAATTTTTTTTTTTACATCATCTCAGCTCTTACACAGCAGAAAAGCTCCAAATCTTGGCACTTTTGGGCGTTCTGAGCAGAGCTGCAGCTCCCAAATGAGACACCCCACTTGCAACAGCACAATGCCACTGTGTGTTGGATGCTGCACAAACAGGAGCCACGAGACCCTCAGTGACCCCTAACAGCAGCAACAGCCTTGGAATGTGGGATTGGATGCTCCTCATCCCAGTGGGAGCCAGCTTAGAGTCCCAAAGATCAGGAGGCATCTCGCAAAACAAAATAGAGGCACTGGAGGATGCTGCCTCAGTCCAGGATTGATGACCTGGATGTTTTTGCACTTGGGTTTTTCTTTTTTTTTTTTTTGTTTTGTTGACATTTTTGTTTGGTTTTTATTTTGAATAAAACTTGCAGAGAAGTGAATGCCCCAAAACCCACCAGCAGCATCACCCTGGCTGTGGGTGAAGCTCGTGGCTGTGACAGAAACCTCTCAATCCTTGGTCAGGTTCTTTATTCCCCTTGATGGCTCTTGAACAAACCACAAGGCAAAGGGAATTGCAAAATGGGTGCTGAGGAGGGGCTGCAGACTCTGCTCCATCACAGCACGAGGGAAGTGCCATAATTTGGCTTTTTCTCTGCCCCGGTGCCCCTCAGGGACCCACCGGTGCTTAAAATCTCTGGGGTGGGGGACACACAGACAGACAGACAGACACATGCATAGAGATCTACACCTGAAAAAGTGCATTTCTTTAGGCAACTGGCCTATGAAAAAAAAGGGGAATATCTGGGGGCACACTGCTCCTGCTGACTCCTCTCCAATCCCTAGGGATCTGTGGGCAGAGACGGATGCTTGCAGCCACGATGGCCATCCAGCCCCACCTCCAGGAGCTGCCTGCGCCCCAAAACCACCTCAGGGACCTTTCTGGGAAGCACACCAGCAGGAAGCCCTGCTTCCCAACATCCCTCCCCAGCAGCAGTGTTATAGCAAAGCCCCCCATGCTTCACCCCCTGACTCTCCCACAGCAGGGCCAAACAGAGCCTTCCCCCTTTTCCATGCAGGACCCACCCCATCTGAGGGTTACAGCCCTTCCCAGGTATTCATCAGCCCTTCTGATCTTGTCCCACTGTAATTTTTTGCCCTGTGAGAAACCACACTGGCTTTCCAGGGGCTTCCCAGGTGACACCTGGCCCGCCCCAGGCCCACCCCACAGCAGCCACGTCTCTTTACGGGCCGTAAGGCAGAGCTTCGTTAACACCTGTCCGGGCTGTGCTTCACCTGGCAGGAGTCTCCTGGAATGGCTGATGGATCTACGGCTCACAGGGGCCCAGCTGTGCCGCCAGTTTTGTCTTTGCAGGGCATGGAGTCCGTCTGTCCGGGAGCGCGGGGGTCACCTGGCAGCACAGCACCGAGCGCAGGAACCGCAGCACCGGCGGCCTCAGGATGGCGAAGACCCAGGGATCGACGATGGAGTTGATGGAGAGGAACCTCAGGGCGAGCAGGTCCCACTCGTGCTCGCCCTCTTCCGTGATGAACTTGTTCATGTAGGCACGGATCTGCAAAAGCACGGGATTGTGGAATGGTTTGGGTTGGAAGGGACCTTAAAGCTCATCTCGTTCCAAGCCCCTGCCATGGGCAGGGACACCTTCCACTAGCCCAGGTTGCTCCAAGCCCTGTCCAACCTGGCCTGGAACACTTCCAGGGATGGGACAGCCACAGCTTCTCTGGGCAACCTGTGCCAGGGCTTCACCATCCACAGAGTAAAGAATTTTTTCCCAATATCCAACCTAACACTACTCTTTTTCAGTTTGAATCCATTCCCCCTTGTCCTGTCTCTCCAGGCCCTTGTAAATAGTCCCTCTCCATCTTTCTTGTAGCTCCCTTCAGGTACTGGGAGGCCACAATCAGGTCACCTGGGAGCTGTCTCTTTTTCAGGCTGTACAATCCTGATTCTCACACGTGGGACGAAACACCACGTGTGAGACGGAGAGGATGAGGGGTGCGGGACTGCTCCTGTCCTTCCCACAAAGTGCCGACTCACAGCAGCCCACGGGGCTTCCTGGAAGGGTGACTCAGCACTCCTTACTCACACGAGTCAGCTCACCACCCCCTCACTTCGGGGGCCAGGGGATGCTTGGATGGGGGTGGGAAGCACAAGCATCCCTCCTTCAGCCGGGATCCGTTGGGTACCACCCGGGGATGGCGCATCCCAGGGCAGGAGGCAGCCATGCTGCATTTCCAAGAGGTGTCCCAGGTTTTTTTTTTTTAGGGGGAGGATTTTGTGACCTGATGGGTTCGTGTGCTGGTTGCTCCTGGGAGGAGGGTGGTTGCTGTGGGCAGCCCCGGACAGGAGAGAAAGTGTCACCCCCAAGGAGGCACCGGCGGCGTTCGGTTTGAGACGCTGCCAAAATGCAGCCCAAACACAGCCCCACATGGGAGCTGGGTGACGGGAAAAGGGAAGCTGGCTCTGGATAAGGCTATATCTGCTACCACAGGGCCCGTGGGATCCCCGCCAGCGCCGCTTTCCCATCCCATCTGTCCCAAGCAGACTCACAGGGCTCTGTGCACGTGCCCCCACCAAAGGGTTCCACTTTGTAATGACCACAGCAGCCAAACCCGGGCTTTTTTTGGGACACAAAAACCGCTCAGGATGTGTGAGACCATTTGTCAGGAGCTGAAGCGTCTCTCAGGGCATTCAGTCTGGCTCCTGGAATGCTCACGAGCATCCAAACATTACTCCTTTGCCCTAAAACCCTGGCAGCCTGGTTCGGCTCTACCCCGTGCTTATTTTCTTTTCCCTTAGGAAAAGAAAGGGAGCATGAAGGAAGGTAGAGTCTATTTAACACAGAATTAGCACTGGCTGCACTCCCAACCTTGGTGGGGTTCCCTTCTAATGGGAACAAAATGACCTCCTGTGGCAGGGGGTCACACACACACAGCCAGGGGGTTGAGCTACTCCGGACTCCAAGATGATCCCGGTGTAACACCATTTGGAGGGATGAAAAGTAGCCCTTTGGAGGGGAGAGCCCCAAGCAGGGGACTCGCTTTCTCCCCTTCCTCACTTGGCTGTGGGGGTTCAACCCTGGATTTCTGCTGGAAGTCTTGTCCATGGATGGGGTGTGGGATGTGGGGACAACCCCTGCATCTCCAGCTCCATGCGCAGAACTCTGGGATAACTCATCCCACCAGCACAGATCCCCACTGCCTCCATCCCAGGGCATCTCCTTCATCCCCATCTTTGGATGCTTAATTGATTGCTCTGCCATCCCTCACACCTCCACCAGGAGTGCCCGGCTCCTGGGAACTGCAGTGATGCCGTGTGGTCCAGGTGATCCCCACCCTGGTCCCTGCCTGAACCTGGCTGGCCTTGGAGCTTCCGTGGGGTGGGAGGGCACTCCTGTCACCTCATCCTTCTGCCATCTCATCCTCCTGCCACCCCATCCACCAGCCACCCCATCCTCCTGACACTGCATCCTCCTGACACTGTTGTCCTGCCACCCTGTGATCCTGCCACCCCGTGATCCTGCCACCCCATCCTCCTTCTGGCACTGGGGATACAGGGAGCGATTTCCCCCACTCCCCAAGGGACGTGTAAACTGCCAAGAGTTCGTGGCTGAGCTGGGCTCTCCCAAGCTTCGGGAAGAGCAAAGCTTTGACCTCAACCCTTGGGATTTGGACAGCAGAGCTGGGGGCGAGCCTTACAAAGGGAAGGAGAGAAATGTGGGCGCTGGGCAGAGGGGACCCCACCCTGGGGTGGGAGAGGCGGCCGCACTCACCGTGAAGGGCAGGGAGCAGATGACGAAGGTGATGGTCATGATGGAGAGGAGGAGGAGGTGGTCGATCTCCTCGGCCATGGAGAACATGCGGCGGCCGCAGCCGGAGGCCGCGCGGGGCTGCTCGAGCGTGGCCACGCGGCGCGTCCGCTGCGCGCGGCGGTGCATGCGGGCCAGGTTCACGATCACGCTCAGGTTGCAGAGCAGCACGGCCAGGATGAGGAAGAGGAGCAGGGTGGCGTAGAGCAGCGAGAAGGTGACGTTCAGCCCGGCCGCCCCCCGGCCGCCGCGGTTCTGGTGGGAATCCAGGTGCATCTGGATGAAGCACCAGGTGCCGGGGCAGTACTGGACGTAGCGGCCGAAGCCCAGCAGGGGCAGGGAGCAGAAGGCGGCCGAGAAGGTGTAGATGGCGGGCAGGGCCACCAAGCCCGTGCGGGGGCTGAGGAAGCGCTCGTAGAAGTACGGCTGCCCCAGGGCCAGGCACCGCTCCAGCGCCATGGTGAAGAGGATGAGCATGGTGGCGAGGCCGAAGAAGCTCATGGCGAAGCCGAAGTAGAGGCAGATGTGCCCTCCCTGGACCAGGGCGGTGAGGGTGTGGTTGCGGTGGTAGGACGCCAGGACGAAGGGGCTGACGGAGCAGGTGCCCAGCAGGTCGGTGACCACCAGGGCCAGCACCAGGACGTGGAAGAGCGAGGGCGGGCGCTGGCGGGGCCCGCGGCGGCCGTGCAGCAGCAGCCCCAGCGCCAGGAGGTTGCCCAGGAGCCCGGCCGAGAACATGAGGGCGCTGATCAGCGGGTGAGCCTTGGCCGGCAGCGCTGACCCGCCGCGCCCGCACTCCCGTCCCGTCCCGTTCATCCCTCCGCCGCCGCCGCCGCACGACCGACTGCCCTGCCACCCCCGGCACCGGCACCGCCCGCCCCGACGGCACCGCCCCACCCACCGCCCCCCGCCCCGCCCGCCGCCCCCGGCACCGCCCCGGCCCCGGCCCCGAGCGATGGACGGGAGGGGCGGCGGGAGACACGCACGGACGAAACCCCGGCGGACTGAGAGTCCAGGGGCCGGTCTGGGAGCCCCGGACACGGCCAGTCCCGGGGCGGGGCCGAGAGTCCCGGGGCCGTGCCGGCGGTGCCGTTGCGGCCCCAGAATCGCTGGTATTGCCCCGGTACCGCTCCGGGAGTCCCGAAGCACGCCCAGCTCCAGTGCCCGACCGGGAGCGCCTCGCGGGGCCATCCCCTGTGCCGGGCTGGGAGCCCCGGAGCGGCTCCGGGAGTCCTTTGCATACCCAGTCCCGACGCCGGTTTAAGAGTCCCAGTACCGGAGCCCCGGTGCAGCTCCAAGAGCCCCAAGGCACAGCCAATCCCGGCGTGGGATCCAAGAACCCCGCACATGATCCCGGGAGGACCGGGAGCACCTCGAATGACCAGTCCCCAGCCAGTCTGAGAGTCCTAGTACTGGTCCAGGAGTCCCAGTGCTGGTCAGGGAGCCCCTTTCATGTCCAGCCTCAGTCCTTACATGGCTTTGGGAGCCCCAACACCAAGGTGCTGATCTGGGAGCCCAGTGCCATGGCCAGCTCTGGTACCAGTCCAGGAGCCCCACATGCAGCCAGCCCTGGGCTGGTCTGGGAGTCCCAGTGCTGCTCCAGGACCTCCAAGGCACAGCCAGCCCCGGTGCTGACCCAAGGACCCCAAAGCACTATGAGCCCCACTGCCACCTTCCTCGTTCTGGTGTGGGGCTACCAGGGACACCCAGCTGAAACCAGTTTGTGTGGGAAGTTCCCATGGCCCCAGAGCTGCCTGGAGCTCAGGGAGAACTCCTTGCCCCATGGCTGGCACCATGCCACATCCCAGTTGTCCCCCCCTCTTATATGTCATCAGAACTCCCCATGTGAGTGCAGCCTGCAGCTGGTGTCTGACCATGACCTTAAAGACTGTCTTGTTCCACCGTGGGCAGGGACACCTTCCACTAGACCAGGCTGCTCCAAGCCCTGTTCAACCTGGCCTTGAACACTTCCAGGGATGGGACATCCACATGCTCAAGCAATCTTGGATGCTCTTTTGATCCTTCAGGACACCAGCCCTCACTCAAGCTGCCCTTTATTTAAGCAGCTGGTGCTTCACAGGTTATTTCCAGACCCCTCAAGTGTAGAAAGTCTTTTACCTCCCCTGGCCCTGAGACTACTCCAGCAGCTGCAACGACTTCATTTTTCATTTATTCAGCACACCCGGCCCCCCAAACCACAGCGAAACGCTGCGGCGTCCACGACTGCAGCACAGACACGGCAGGTTGAGGCCACAAGCGCGGTTTTGGCTGTTATTTTTAAAACCTTGCTTTTGTAACAGGAACTTCGTACAGGAAATGGGGTGCGCAGCAAACTCCAGGGCTGTGGTTTGTGACAGCACCTCCATTTCCGAGGGGGCCACTGCTAGTCCTGGATTTGGTTTCTTCTCCCACACAGCTCAAAGGCTTCTTCAGTGCGGTGGGGAGGATGAGCTGTCACCTCACAGGTGGCAGGGCCACCACAGCTCCAGCCCTCCCTGTTCCCACGGCCAAAGCAGTGAGAGAGATGGAGGGGATGGTGTTTTAGCCATCCCAGACTAACCCTGCACTCAGGTAGGCCAGGAAAACACACCTCCCAGGAGCTCTCCTATCCTCCCTCCCAACCCTGTTGAACTGATCCAGCAGATCCACCAAAGCATGTGGACACATCCGATGGTGGGAGACAGACATCCTGTTGGCTTCCCGAGGGCTGGATGGGACCCTGGCATGCTCAGCCCTCTGTGGTATCCACAAATTCAGGTTAAAAAAGGAGATGAGGCCGAATCCTGTCCTGATCCATGCATGCCTGGAGACCTTTTCCGAGCAGCAGGTATCCCGTAGGGGGGTTGCTCCGAGGTTTTTCCCAGCCTCCCACTCCTTTCTGGTGCTCCGTGTCACAGCTCAGGAAGGGGTTTTGGCTTGTCTTGGAGCTCATTTTCCTGGCAGCTAATGGAGCCTTAAATACCCATCTGGGGCTTCGGGCTTCTCAACTGACAGTTGTCTCTGATGGGATTTTTTTGCAATAATAGGAAAATTGCTGGGCTTTTGTTTTTTTATTCCCCCTTCTGAGCTCAAAACCAGGAACAAACCGCTTGGTACAATTTGTCCGTTTCTTGGGAAGTGTTTGTTTTCTTCCTTTGCTTCCATGTTTAGCTCATGTGTCTTGCCTCTAACAAAGTCCATACAGAATCCTAGAACTGTTTACATTGGAAAAACCCTCTAAGATCATCCAACCCAACCATTTCCCCAGCACTGCCAAGGCCACCACTGACCCATGTCCTCAAGTGCCACATCCACATGGCTTCTAAATCCCTCCAGGGATGGGGACTCCACCACTGCCCTGGGCAGCTGTGCCAGGGCTGGACAACCTTTTCCACAAGGAAATTTTCCATAATATCCAACCTAACCCTCCCCTGGTGCAATTTGAGGCCGTTTCCTCTTGTCCTGTCACTGGTCAGTCAGAAGAAGAGCCCAGATCCTGCCAGCTCCCCCCTCCTGTCAGGGAGTTGCAGAGCCAAAAGGTCCCCCCTGAGCCTCCTTTTCTCCAGGCTGAGCCCCTCCAGCTCCCTCAGCTGCTCCTGGTGCTCCAGACCCTTCCCCATCTTTGTTCCCTTCTCTGGACATGCTCCAGCACCTCATACATCCTCCCAAGGGTCATTGGCATTGTTTTCCCTAAGAGAAGATTTCCAGGGTGGGCCCAGTTGAAGAAAACACTCTGAGTTTATAGGAAAGCTTCATGAATTTCATATAGAGCACTCAGCCTCTGGAATTTGCTACCTGCGGCTGGGAGGGTGTTGGGATCCTGCTCCATCCCTGGTGGGTTTTTAAAGGACGGCTGTGGCACTGTGGACTTGGAAGGGACCAGCCCTCCTGTGCATGGCAGGATGGACTGGATGGCTGGATTTCAACTCTTTTAAACCAAAACCCATCTGACTCGTTTTTAGCAAAGCCAGACACCATTTTTCTTACCAAGCCTTCCCATCCCCATCCCTTATCTCATGCCAACAGCCTCACTCACTCCCCTGGCAAAACAGGTCAGGGTTTCGGTGCCTTGGCTTGCTATCCATGGGTTAAAAAATAATTCAACCCACTTATGGGCTTGTTGTGCCTCACAGCCCTGACTGGGGTGCCTGGCAGCCCCAGCACTGCTGCCTGCCCAGGCACGTGCCTTCCTGCTTCCAGAATAGCTGAAAAATGCAGGCAGACAATAATAAAAAAAATAAAAAAATAAAAAATGAGCTCTTTGCAAGAACCAAACAATTTGTCGGGAAATGAGCTTGTGCAAAGTTGTGCCTGGATTTCGTGAGCTGAAAAAAAAAAACAGCCTGTCCAGAAAAGGAGAGGGATGCAGGGGGGAGGTGATGCTGGTGGCCCCAGTGACAGTGAGGGACAAGGCAGCTGGCAGTGCTGGAAGGTGGCAGGGACATAAAACGGGCTCCAAAAAGAGCTCTGTCGGTGTGAGACACGTCCTCGAGCTGAGCAGCGTTTCTTTATTGCCTCCATTAAGCATCAGGTCCATCCCTTCGGGAATGGCTGGGAGCGATCTGGCACGGAGGGATCCCGTGGGGAATGACTGAGCAGTGCAAGGAGCCTGGGAGGAGGATGGGATCAGAGAGGGCTCCACAGCAGCTCTCACCTCTTTGACTGGAGATCCCTGAGCCCCTGGGCTTTTTTGGTTCTTTTTTAGCAACATTTACAACTGAATCCCGCATCACCGGGATTTTTTATTTCAATTTTTACTTGATTTTCACTTTATTTTCCTTTTGTTTTCATTTTTTCCCCGAGCACAGCAAGAAGAAAGGGGGATCTAAGCTTTGACATAAACCCCGAAGCCCCAGAACTATATACGTTTGGGCACCGAAAAATCGTCTTGCCCAAGGGACCGATTCAGGGCGGAGAACATCCGTCGCCTCCTTGCTCCTCGTGCTCAGGCCGGCTGTGAGCGCAGTCCTGGCTGGGGACGTGCTGCCATCTCTGGAGAGGACGGGGTACGGCAGTCCCGGGCCCCAGGAACGCCGAGGAGCGATGATTTCTCTGCTGGGAGGCCGCCCTGGCGCGCAGCCCCGAGCACAAACCCTGTTGGCTGCAGCCGGCCCTTGGCTCGCCCGGAGGCAGCAGTGGCCGGCTGGAGACTCCAGGTCTGCTCCCGCAGCAGGTAGGACACCAGGAAGGGCAGAATTCCCACTGAAAGTGCTACCCAAGCCATATAAGCGTGTCAAGGTCACTGGGACTTGCACGGTCCCAGCTGGGACACAGGGATGCTGCAGGGACAGGGGGGTCACCCTGACGGCCTGCAAACCCCCACTGCGCTCGTGGCTCCGGGATTTGTTTCCCATGATGATAAACTCATGGATGGGCCAGAGAACGTGGTGTTTGCACCATTTTAGGGCTCAGCTGGAGTCTATTCTTGCACCTTAATAAAGAACCTGCTCTGTTTTGTGTTGATTTAATTACTGCTTTCCATGGGTCATGGTTACCCTGAACTCTGAATGCACATATTGTGGGGAAGAGACCTTTCCTGGAGCAGGGACCTTTCCTGGGGCAGGGACCTTTCCTGGAGCAGGGACCTTTCCTGGGGCAGGGACCTTTTCTGGGACAGGGACCTCTCCTGAAGCCTCTCTAGGAGTGAATCCTTGCTGGGATCATGGGCAGATGATGCCCTATCTCAGCCTGGGCACACACAGAGCACCCACAGCTCACGTTAATTGTTGGATCAATGATCTTGGAGGTCTTTTCCACCTTAACAATTCTGTGATTCTGTGTTGCTGAACACTCCCAGTCTGGCCATGCCTAGTCCATCTATCCTGAGGGGAGCATGG